GCTCCACATCGAAAAGCTTAAACAACCCCCCCTCCCAAAAATAGAACAGAGCCGTTTTGCGCCCCCTATGCAAGCCACCCTTCATCCTCCCGCTTGGGACCTCGCATCACCAGACCCTCATCCTCGTCGTCATCATCCTCATCTTCATAGTCGTGCCTGTCTCCATTTTGGTGTTGGTGGTGGTGATACTCCCCATTTCTCGGAACCGACCCGTTTTGTTGTTGGTGGTGATTATGGTCCCCGTTTGCGTGTCCCTCTTCTGGCTGGTGATTACTGCCGCTCTTGACGCCATAATCGTTACCGTTGCCATTGTTCTCCGGCTCCGTCTCGCCTTCGTCCTCCTCTTCCAGCATCCACGTCAAACCATTCGCGTGCTCCTCCAGAGGGAAAACCTCGCGCGCATACTCCTCCAGCCCTCGTGGTCCTTCCCAGAGCTCCAGGGCAGTCTTGGGGCAGTCGTTCTCCAGCTCGAGGTCGCCAAAGTAAGGGGGCTGCTTCTTCGGGTCGTCACCTCCAAGGGTGAACAACGTCTCCAGAGCCTCCAGCTGGCAGCGATAACCCTCGGGAATCGGCACCGTGACCTCAATCGGGCCCTGGACATAGCGCACCGGCCGACCGACCCCCTTCGCAAAGTGGCGGCACGCCTCCCTGGGAGTGAGCATCTCGTAGGCGAGAGCGATGCGCTTGCCACCGCCCCATTTCTTCACACCGTCCTTGAAGATCTGAAGGACGGCTGGCCCCACGTCATGTTCTGCATCAAGCCAAGGAAGCTTGGCGTCGGGGTGAAAAGGGGCCTGCCAGACAAAGGAGCCGTCTTTTTGCAGGGCGGTGCAAAACAGAGGGTACGGAAGAGATGTGAAGTTGTTGTTATATATACCCGTGTAAACAAACGTTGCTGGCAACCCGATTTTCCTAACATATTCCTCGACCTGGTGCTTCGAAGACCAAAGTGGCAGCGATGGCCAGTCTGGGTTATAAGTGTTGTGATCCGGCATGGATGAATAAACATAATGCTGAATGCCTGCCGCCTTTGCTGCGTCGGCGAGAGCCTCGCCGATGAGGTTCTCATCGCCATAAAATGTGGTGTTGATAAAGGCCAGCTGGGTACCCCGGAAGAGCTCCTTGATCAGGTTGTGATTGACGCCGATGCCGGAGATAGGACCGTTCTTAGATACGTCAATCTGTGCAGGCTCGCCGGGTTTGCTCTTCTCCTTTGTGTACAGCTCTCCAAGGAGGACCGTCACGTTGGGGTTGGTAGCCACTTCGGTAGCGATCACGCCCTCGAGATTCCTCATCTGGGCTCGAACATGGTAGCCGACTGCTGTGGCAACCCGGATGAAGGAAGCAGCCTGTCTGCCGGCAGCATTGATAACGGCGATTGTCTTATCAGGACCGGTCAGAAACCTTTTGGCCGGGCGGAAGGTCAAAGAATTATTCCTCGACATGAGGGGTGAGCCATCTGAGTAGGAGGACCTGGAGTGTTTGTGTCGCCTCTCGATTTCGGTTTGGGGGTGGGTGTTGATTCTGATTTCCCTGGGTGCCGGGGCCGGCCTGTAGGCAAGGTCTGAGTGTAGCTCGACCGTCATGGTGAATCCTTTCTGTTGCGAAGATGATCTTGGGTGTAGATAGGGGTGGTGTATGTATGCGAACTTTTCGAGCAATCCGTTGGCTCCAGAAAAGAAAAGTCGGTTTTAACTGTTCAAGCTCCTCGATTTCTCTTTCTCTGAGTCTTGGAAGAAAGACGACGGCGGGTTGGGCGTCTCTGGCGCAGTGATTTCGGATGGAGTGCTATCGGTATCTCGCCAGTGATAAAGGACATCAGATTGACACAGCTAACTTTCACGGGCATGCGCCCCAAACGGCCCAGCAGCAGCGGTGTGTGCGGGATGCGGCGCTTCAGGGAGGGTGCTTGAAAACGGTAAAGCTTCTGGTGCCTGGAAACAAGCAGGACTGTTGCGCAGACAGGAAAGGGTGGTTTTGTTGTGATTTTTTCTCTCTCTCTCTCTTCTCTCTCTCTCTGACTGCAGAGAGACAACAGCTTGTGAACCCTGACGGATAGGATAGCTTTGGTGCTGCGTCGCACACGAGGAACAGGTTGAGCTCGGCGTCGATGGCGTATTATTCTGGGCAGTGGTTATCTGTTAGTGGGGTTCTTCCCGATTGCGGGGCAAGCAGGGGCACTGATAAAAGATAAAAGAAGAGACAGGCAAGGCAGGGCAAGGCAGGGCAGGGCAGGGCAGCAGGACAACAGACCACAAGCAGGATGGAGGGCGGGAAGGCGAAGACGGAGGGTGTCACCCGAGAGGTAGATCAGAGAGAGAGAGGTATGGATGGGTCTCTGCTTATGCTTTTTTTTCTTATCCAGGGCTTGGAGATAGGATGACTCGGGAGATAACACAAATCACAAAGCTCTGTCCACCCTCTCCAGCGTTGCTCTGGGACTGACCACATGACGAGCTTCGTGATGAGAAGACGACGGGCGGCATGTCCCATGCGGGCATCGTTGGACATTGTCGCCGCCGTTTCAATGACAGGGAGCTCCTTGCGCAATCGCGGCAGGCCAACAAAGGGAAGCAAATCGAAAGCTCGCAACCCAGCTCTGGCCGTGCTTGCGGGACCCGATCTCCCCACTCTCCAGAGTCTTGTTTTCAGTGCTAAAGACATCGTTCCATGCGGGAAATGGGGCGAGACAACTTGTCGACACCCACCGTATCCACAGCAAAGAGCTCAGCAGGACGGCCAGAGAGAAAAAAAAAAGCTGCCATGGACGCGGTGAGTGCCGGCCAATCGGGTACACCTCGTCCACCTAGTCCAGCGCACGCTTCGTCGTCTGCTTCGCTCAATGGCCCGATATTGATATTGCCTACCTCTCTGGAGGAGCAGCAAGCGCGGGTTGAGCTGGGGCCTGGTGGGCAAGCAGACTGATCGAGACTTGATGATGTTGCAGACTGTTTGTCACAGATTCCAGGGTTTGGTCCGGCAGCCCACGCAGGCTGTGTGGATGACGATGATGGCCATGCCATGATCCGGGGGCAGTGAGAAAATGGCCGTAGTGTAGGGATGGATGTGAGCAACCTGGATCCGGTACGGAGCAGAGAGATAACGCATCAGGGCACGAGGCACAGGGTTGCATGTAAGTCAATATCAGCCGGACCGGTCTGTTAGCGCAGTACCTTTTCTATGTCTCTGTTGTCCAGCGGCGGGAGAGGCTGTCGTACAGAATCGTAATGGCTGATAGTAAATCTCATCCTCTTTCCAATGGCATTGCCCGGTGGAATTCGAGGCAAGCACAAGCTGCCTCGCTGTCTCAAAGAGGCAGCCGCATTCGGCATTTGCTGATTGATATCCGTGCAATCTCGCTCACAGTGCTGCCAGCTGGAGATAACGGCCTGGCTGGGCAGAGCACCACTGGGCTGACTCCATTTTCCACACCTTGGAAAACTTTTTTTTCTTTCGTCAAAGGCTCACTCCATCGATTCGACGGCCGTCTGGGCATCCGCCGGCCTGGCAGGCTCCAGTTTCCGCTGCAGCTAGAGGTTACTGTTACCTGATGACCTTCCTATTCAGACCCCAAAAAGGCATTTCCTTAGCAATACATCTTGGCGCTCCCGGCGGTCGGCGCGCCTGCGAAAGTGCGAACGATAGAGATAGGGAGGCTGGAAAATCCCGACATCATCAACGAAGGGGAAGCCCGTGCCGCACGAGCAATCATCCGAACTGCTGGTTGGACACATTGGACCTCTCTCTCATCCACTTCGATTCATCCAATATCTAGCAGCCCCCCCCCAAGAGTCTTCCATTCCATTGGCGTCCGCTTGTTGTTCCACGAAATGCTGGCTCTTGTCTCTCGGTGTCGGGTTTGTTCGATATCCATCCTCCCCATGGAGCAGCTGAGGGTGTGATCCAAAACCGTGCGGTGTGATGGGTTGGAATGGTGGTGTTGGTTTGTGAGCATGTTCGGTTCGTTGAACGTCAAAAAAGGCTCGAATCCGGGCGCGGCCTTCCTTTTCAATTACGTACAATATGCGCCGCTAAGGCCGGTCTAGGGCAAGCAACAAGCACAGCACCATCCAGTGCACCTGCGTCCAGGTATATACAGTTGGGTTTGTGTGCCACAGGGCCGCTGGCAAAGTCTGATATCTCCGCGGAAAATCAGATGGTTGTTGCAATTGCAATTCACTTTTACCCAACAGGTGTTACACCAACCACTCACACACCACTTACATCATCGCAGGGGTCCGTGGTTCGGCTGACCCTCTTCCAAAAACTGGGACACGTTCCGACGACTGGCGTCTTTTGGCCCCTTGTGGGAGCGAGCCCTGCCGAGCCTGGGCAGTGATGAGACTGGAAGCTGTCAACCCTCTTTTTTTCCCCGCAAGGAGGGGCATCGAAATCGCGGGGAAGATCAGAAAACCTCTGCGGATAGCGTCCCTGGAAGTGCCTGGGCATCGAAGGGGACATCACCGGGCCAAGGGCTTCCGGAAGCTGGCGGTGAGCTCCGCATTCGGCACATCCCCAAGGCACGCACAGCAACATGGCTCCACAACGCTTTTGGGTGTCGAACTCTCTGGTCCAGAGTCCAGACTCGATAAAGTACTACAACACACGCTGTGTCACGCGAGCAGCATGGCTCTGAGGACGGTTGATGAGTTGGGTCAAGACATTCTGATCAACATTCATACCCTTCCTCCTGCTCTCTCCAGTCAAACGGGCTGCCGTGAAAGCCCATGGTGGTCATCAACTGAACATCGTCCAACAAGGGACCCTCTGGTATCCAGTCCTCCACCGTCTGCTGATGCACGTTATTTTCACCACGGATGGCGCTATCAAATGTGTCCTAGCACAAAGTATGGATTCGTCAGTTATCGTGGATCACTGACTCGGAAAAACGGCCAGACTCTGGGGAGCTGAGTAGTGAAAAAAAAAAAAAAAAAGAGAGAGAGAGAGACAGAGAGAGAGAGAGACAGAGAGAGAGAGAGAGAGAGAGAGAGAGAGAGTTGCCAGCC